ATGAGACCACCTGTAAAGCTTAATGTTCTAATTATACTGTTTTATATAGCTTGAATTTTCCTAATAGTTAAAAGATTTCTGTTTCATAAGGAACAGCTCTAAAAGTATACTTCCCCTATGATAACTTTTCCATAAAAAATGTATCTCCTCTGAATAACCTTGTTAATTTTCTGTCTCTTTACTCTGTCTAATATTGACAGTGGGGCGTTAAACTCTCCCACTATTTATTGTGTGGGAGTCTAAGTCTCTTTGTAGGTTTCCAAGAACTTGCTTTATGAAGCTGGGTGCTCCTGTATTAGGTACATGTATATTTAGTATACTTAGCTCTTTTTGTTGCATTGATCCCTTTATCATTATGTAATGCACTTGTCTTTTGTGATTTTGGTTGGTTTAAAGTCTGTTTTATCAGAGACTAGGATTGCAATCCCTGCGTTTTTTTTGCCTTCCATTTGTTTGGTAAATCTTGCTCTATACCTTTATTTTGAGCCTGTACGTGTCTTTGCTGTGAGATGGGTCTCCTGAATGCAGCACACTGATGGGTCTTGACTCATTTTCCAACTTGCCAGTCTGTGTCTTTTACTTGGGGCATTTAGCCCATTTACATTTAAGGTTAATATTGTTATGTGTGATTTTGATCCTGCTATTTTAATGTTAGCTGGTTATTTTGCCCATTAGTTGATGCAGTTTCTTCATACTGTCAATGGTCTTTACAATTTGATATGTTTTTGCAGTGGCTAGTACCAGTTTTTCCTTTCCATATTTAGGGCTTCCTTCAGGAGCTCTTTTTAGGCAGTACTGGTGTTGACAAAATCTCTCAGCATTTGCTTGTCTGTAAAGAATTTTTTTGGCTGGACATGAAATTCTGGTTGAAAATTATTTTCTTTAAGAATGTTTAATATTGGCACCAGTCTCTTCTGGCTTATAGGTTTTCTGCAAAGAGATCCACTGTTAGTCTGATGGGCTTCCCTTTGTGGGTAACATGACCTTTCTCTCTGGCTGCCCTTAACACTTTTTCCTTCATTTCAACCTTGGTGAATCTGACAATTATGTGTGTTGGGTTTGCTCTTCTCAAGGAGTATCTTTGTGGTGTTTTCTATATTTCCTGAATTTACATGTTGGCCTGCCTTGCTAGGGTTGGGGAAGTTCTCCTGGATAATATCCTCATTGAGTGTTTTCCAACATGGTTCCTTTCTCCCTGTCATTTTCAGGTACACCAATCAAATGTAGGTTTGGTCTTTTCACATAGTCCCATATTTCTTCGAGGCTTTGTTCATTCCTTTTTATTCTTTTTTCTCTAATCTTGTCTCTACGCTTTATTTTATTAAGTTGTTCTTCAAATCTCTGATATCCTTTCTTCTGCTTAATTGATTCGGCTATTGATACTTGTATATGCTTCACAAAGTTCTCATGCTATGTTTTTCAGCTCCATCAGGTCACTTACGTTCTTCTCTAAACTGGTTATTCTAGTTAGCAATTCCTCTAACATTTTTTCAAGATTCTTAGCTTCCTTGCATTGAGTTAGAACATGCTCCTTTAGCTCAGCAGAGTCTGTTATTACCCACCTTCTGAAGCCTACTTCTGTCAATTCATCAAACTCATTCTCTGTCTAGTTTTGTTCCCTTGCTGGCGAGGAGTTGTGATCCTTTAGAGGAGAAGAGGCTTTCTGGTTTTTGGAATTTTCAGCCTTTTTGCTCTGTTTTTTTCCTCATTTTCATGGATTTATCTACCTTTGGTCTTTCATATTGGAGACCTTCTGATGGTTTTCTATGTGGATGTCCTTTCTGTTGATGTTGATGCTATTCCCTTTTGTTTGTTAGTTTTCCTAACAGTTGCACCCCTCTGCTGCAGGTCTACTGGAGTTTGCTGGAGGTCTACTCCAGACCCTGTTTGCTTGGGTGTCACCAGCGGAGGCTGCCGAAGAGCAAAGGTTGCTGCCTGTTTCTTCCTCTGTAAGCTTTGTCCCAGAAGGGCACCTGCCAGATGCCAGCTGGAGCTCTCCTGTATGCAGTGTCTGTTGACCCCTGCTGGAAGGTGTTTCCCAGTCAGGAGGCACGGGGGTTACAGCCCCACTTGAGGAGGCAGTCTGTCCCTTAGCAGAGCTTGAGCACTGTGCTGGGGAATCTACTGCTCTCTTCAGAGCCGGCTGGCAGGAACATTTAAGTCTGCTGAAGCTGCACCGATAATATGCCTTGTCCAGAGAGGAGGAATCTAGAGAGGCTGTCTGGCTACAGCAGCTTTGCTGAGCTGCAGTGGGCTCCACTCAGTTTGAACTTCCTGGCAGCTTTGTTTACACTGTGAGGGGAAAACTGCCTACTCAAGCCTCAGTAATGATGGATGCCCCACCCCCTCCAACAAGCTGGGGCATCTCAGGTTGACTTCAGACTGCTGTGCTGGCAGCAAGAATTTCAAGCCAGTGGATCTTAGCTTGCTGGGCTCCATGGAGGTGGGAATACACTGAGCTAGACCACTTGGCTCCCCGGCTTCAGCCCCCTTTTCAGGGGAGTGAACGATTCTGTCTTCCTGGCTTTCCAGGTACCACTTGGATACAAAAAAAAAAAAATGCTCCTTCAGCTAGCTTGGTTTCTGCCCAAAGGATGACTCAGTTTTGTGCTTGAAAACGAGGGCCCTGGTGGTGTAGGCATCCGAGGTAATCTCCTGGTCTGTGGGTTGCAAAGACTGTGGGAAAAGGGTTGTATCCAGGCTGGAATGCACTGTTCTTCACAGCACAGTCCCTCATAACTTCCCTTGGCTAGGGTAGGAAGCTCCCCAACCCCTTGCATTTTCTGGGTGAGGCAACACCCCACCCTGCTTTGGCTTAGCCTTTGTGGGCTGCATCTACTATCCAACCAGTCCCAATAAGATGAGCCTGGTACCTCAATTGTGAATGCAAAAATCATCCACCTTCTGCATTGATCTTGCTGGGAGCTGCAGACTGGAGCTGTTCCTATTCGGCCACTCCACCTCCTCTTCCATGCTCATGGACAGGAAGAATCAATATCGTGAAAATGGCCATACTGCCCAAAGTAATTTATAGATTCAATGCTATCCCCATCAAGGTGCCACTGATTTTTTCACAGAATTAGAAAAAAACAACTTTAAATTTCATATGAAACTAAAAAAGACCCCAGATAGCCAAGACAATACTAAGCAAAAAGAACAAAGTTGGAGGCATCATGCTACCTGACTTCAAACTATACTATAAGGCTACAGTAACTAAAACAGCATGGTACTGGTACCAAAACATGTATATAGACTAATGGAACAAAACAGAGGCCTCAGAAATAATGCCACACATCTACAACCACCCAATCTTTGACAAACCTGACAAAAACAAGCAATGGGGAAAGAACTCCCTATTTAATAAATGCTGTTGGGAAAACTGGCTAGCCATATGCAGAAAACTGAAACTGGACCCCTTCCTTACAGCTTGTACAAAAATTAACTCAAGATGGATTAAAGAATTAAATGTAAGACCTAAAACCATAAAAACCCTAGAAGAAAACCTAGGCTATACCATTCAAGACATAGGCATAGGCAAGGACTTCATGACTAAAACACCAAAAGCAATGGCAACAAAAGCCAAAATTGACAAATAGGATCTCATTAAACTAAAAAGCTACTGGACAGGAAAAGAAGCTATCATCAGAGTGAACAAGTAACCTACAGATTGGGAGAAAATTTTTGCAATCTATTCATCTAACAAAGGGCTAATATCGAGAATCTACAAAGAATTTAAACAAATTTACAAGAAAGAAACAACCCCATCAAAACATGGGCAAAGGATATAAACAGACACTTCTCCAAAGAAGACATTTAAGTGGCCACCAAACATGAAAAAACCTCATCATGACTGGTCAGTAGAGAAATACAAATAAAAACCACAAAGAGATATCATCTTGTCAGTCAGAAAGATGATCATTAAAAAGTCAGGAAACAACAGATGCTGGAGAGGATGTAGAGAAATAGAATGCTTTTACACTGTTGGTGGGAGTGTAAATTAGTTCAACTGTTGTGGAAGACAGTGTGGTCATTTCTCAAGGATCATTTGACCCAGCAATCCCATTACTGGGTATATATACAAAGGATTATAAATCATTCTTACTATAAAGACACATGCACATGTATGTCTATTGCAGCACTGTTCACAATAGCAAAGATTTGGAACCAACCCAAATGCCCAACAACAATAGACTGTATGAAGAAAATGTGGCACACATACACCATGGAATACTATGAAGCCATAAAAGAGGATGAGTTCATGTCCTTTGTGGGTACATGAGTCAAGCTGGAAACCATCACTCTCAGCAGAAAAACCAAACACCACATGTTCTCACTCACAAGTGGGAGTTGAAAAATGAGAACGCATGGACACAGGGAGGGGAACATCATACACTGGGGCATGTTGGGGGTGGGAGCCTAGCGGAGGGATAGCATTAGGAGAAATACCTAAAGTAGATGATGGGTTGATGGGTGTGGCAAACCACCATGGCATGTGTATATCTATGTAACAAACCTGCATGCTCTGCACATGTATCCCAGAACTTAACAGTATTAAAAAATATTATCTCCCCTATTTCCATTTCCCCTTCTTCCAGCAAAGTCCAAACTCTCATTTAGGCTACATCCCTCTTGCTTCTCAGTCCACGTGAACTGAATGAAGTACATATCTATCTCCAGAGCAGAATGTGTAGTCTTGACAGGTCCATCAGCACATTACATCCTCTGGGACATGCATACACAGACACAATTCAGGGATTCATACATTACCCAAACAGGCCAAAGTGGGGAAACAAAACCCAGTTCTGTGGCTTCTGTTTGAGTCACTGCTGAAGCAGAAATGTTTCTTTTGTTTCTTAATGACATGGTTCTGAAGATACTGAGTCCTGTAATGGAACTGTGAATGAAACTACCCAGATGAGGTAGAGCTGAGGTGGAGTCTTTTGATGAGCTCTTTAAACCAGCATTTCTGGAAGAGCTCAACCCCTCAACTTCTCAGATTATATGTACACGTATGTACTTTTTAAAAAAACTTAGGACTGTTTGAGATGAGATTTCTATCTCTAACAACTGAAAGAGCCCTAACTTTCATGAGGTTTACCTATACAGGCATTCTAATTCCAAATCTTCAAATAGCAAAGGCAGTCACATTAACTATATCTATGTCTTTTTACCCACCTACCTACCTACTTATCTATCTACTTACCTATCATCTATTTATCTACCTACCTACCTATCATTACCTACCTAATCTATTATCTACCTACCTATTCTATTATCTACCTATCTACCTTTCATCTATCTATCTATCATCTATCCATCCATCTTTATCTATTTACCTATCTATCACCTACCTGTCAACTATCTACTTGTCTATCTTTCTATCTGATATCCATGGTATACAGGAACAATTATATAAAACTGAATTGAAATTTTGGTCCTTAAGAAAGAATACTTTCTCCAGATTGATACATTTAATTAGAAAGTTTTGTGTGGAGTATATTTCTCTTCTTTAGATCTTATTTGTTTTCATCTTTACTACATAAAATAATTATAAACATACAATAATTAAAATATCTCAGTTCACTTTTGAAGTTAAAGAACAACTCATGAACATGGATAACCATATTTTTCTGCTGATTCAAAATTAAGAGCCTTAAGAATTCTACAAATATAGAAACAAAACTAAGAATATCTTTAATGAAGTAACTCATTATATGAGTACTATCCTTAATATTATTTTAAATAATATTAATGTCATTTAGAACAGAGGGAAAATAACTATCTATTTTTCATAATTATTGTTAAATATTCAATATTAGTCATTGTAATTACATATAATACTCATTTATGAAATTCCCATTTTCTTACTCTGACAGGCTCAAGTTTGCTGACATTTAAGGCACGGAAAATACCTTATCTTCTCACACGCATTCTCTCTCAGTTGGAGATCTGTTTAGGAAGGAGCTTTATTTATTATTAAAAGTTTAAATATTTCATAAAACATTAATGACTTTGATAGCTCTAGGTATTCGATAAGATATTTTGGACTTTTTTATTTGTACCCTGGGACAATTCTTTCAAAAAGTGAAATTTTAGAAGCCACACTGATAAAAGTATGTAAATAAATGTGGCATTCTTATTTTTCTCAGGTAACAGAAAGCAAAATTACCCTGTTTCAGTCTACATATTTGAACAGTAAGTGGAATCATAATATCTTCAACAGTCTGGCCATCAGTTATTGTTCCAAAAAGCTTTAGGAATATTCTGTATAATGGAATGTAAAACATTATCAACTGCTATGGTCTGAAACACTGTGGAATAGAATCTGTAAAACTTTGTAGCTAGGTAAAACAATTCAGAAAAATAAAAGGTGAATATAAAACCAAAATTTGGGGAAAATACAGGGCCGGTTTGTTGATATCTAAACTTACGTATTTAAAATGAATCTACTGATACTGACAGCCAGTGTTGGTTGAATATTCATTATGTACCAGGTACTATTCTAAGTGCTTTTTTTGAATGAACTTTCTTAAGCCTCACAACAGTTCTCTGAAGCATGCTACTATACTTGTTTTAATAATCAGAAAATTGAGAAAAAGGGAGATTAAATAATTTGCAAAGCCCAACAGTTAGAAATGGCAGGCTAAGTACCTCTGAAAATCTATATCATAAAAGCAATGACCACTAGCAAGATTTGTCAGAATCAACTTTTGCGAACTCTAGAAACCAATTAAAAACAAGTCTTTAAAAGTGACTAAATCTTGATAAGAATGTGAGCTTTGTGATGTTTTGAATTGTCCTACAGCAATTCTCCTCAGCTCCATGACAGCCTTGAAGACCGGCAGCCTTGCAATCACAGTAGCTGTGAGGAAAAGCAACTTTGCAACCACCAGTCTGGGGACACTGGGTTTGGAACTCTTCAAAAAACTCCATGTCTAGAGCATTGCCACTATGTAGCTGTTAGGAATCTTCCTTAAAAAAAAAAAAAAAAGTCCTTTTCTAGGACTTGTCTTTACTTGAGCTGATTCCACACTGTCTCCAGGAATAGCCATATCAAAGAATCAGCAGCAATTATTAACCATTGCATCTTCCAGAGGCTGTGATAGTAATTGTGGCAAACAAGAAGCAAGATATAGGTTATTTTTCATATTCTAAATTCCCCCAACTTTCTTGCTTATCTCTGTCTCTTTCCAGCACCCTTGTATAAACATGCATGTGCGCGCGTGCGCGCGCGCGCGCGCACACACACACACACACACACACACACACACACACGCGCGCGCGCACTCCACCTTCTTCCTTTAGCCAGAAAACTTGCATAGATCTACTCATGCACATAAAGGGCCTCAGAGATCACTAGTCCACTAGGTCTGCTGTCAAGGTCAATCTAGTCTGCTCCTAGCTGACACCCTGCTGTACCCATGTCACCATGTACTTTGCATGACATCACTTTATCTTGGTATGTTTCAAAGAAATTCAACCCTACCACTACCACCAGGGAAATGCTTTTATCTGTATCTCAACTGTCCTTCAAGTATGTGTGTGTAAAGAACTCCATACGGTACACAGATTATTACTAGGATCTCATTTTTGAATGTATCATAGAGAACACATGATATACAGAATGTTTTGACAACTGATACCATAAAAATGATTCTTGTTTCTCATCATTACAATCATCAACACAGCAAAATAGATAGAGGCTAATATGACAAAATAGATACAGGCTAATGAAGGAATGGTATCTGTATTAAGCCTAAAATTAAGTCTAAATACCTACTCCATTTATAAGCTAAAAAGTCAGGCTGCCACAGTAATAGATATGTAGGTAGGTAGGTGGGTAGGTAGGTAGATAAATAGATAGATAGACACACAGATAGATGGTATTCTGGCAATAAACAAAAAGTCTCTAGATTAGAAAACAGATAGTTGAATGTTCACAGAACATCTTAGCACTGGGGAAACTATAAGAGCCTAATGTTATCCTGCACAAACACAGGAAGTATTACACCATGGACTCAAAAAACTATAACACTTGGAGTTTGGCTGGTACATTGACCAATCCTCTCCTCTGGTGAGGAAGAGTCCTTTATTCTGTGATATTAGCAAATGTTTACAGGAGAGATGTGTCTTCAGCAACGTACTATCCCATCTTCCAAGACATATTTGCTATTCAACCATACTATAACCAAGTTTGCCAGTGGTCTTTCCACAAAAAGATTGGACTTAATGGTAATCTAAAAGTATTCATGGAGAATTGACTCTCAATAATCAGATCCAGGGATTGACGCCAGCCTAGTGACTTTGCCTGATTTATTCTACAGTTATCATTTATTGAATAATGAAAGGTTGAGAAACTAATACAAAGGAAGCTTCTTGTCCCACAGGAAAAAAAAATTAAAATGCTTTCTTTGCCATTATTGACATTTTCATTAAACAAATGAATGACATTCCTAATTATTACCTTCAAACTACCAGAACTTTTAGGAGTGTTCATTTATTGACAGTAACAAGGTACTCAACTATAATTCAGAATATGGTATTCTACTTGAAAATAAGTTATTTTAATATTTTAGCTCCACATAGTTTCTTGAAAAGGCATGAAAATGACATCAGCAGAGATTATTTCTTTTATCATTAAAGAGGCAATACATTTTTACATTGTATAAATTCTGCTCAGACAAGGCTATTTCACTTAATCCTAACTAACCCCTGCCTACTCTGCAGAAAGACAAAAGATTACCAAAATACAATTAACTTTATTTACCATAATACGGTAAAAATGTACCAGAATCTCTGGGACACAGGTAAAGCAGTGTTTAGAGGGAAATTCATAGCACTAAATGGCCACAGGAGAAGGTGGGAAAGATCTAAAATTGACAACCTAACATCACAATTAGAAGAACTAGAGAAACAAGAGCACACAAATTCAAAAGCTAGCAGGAGAAATAACTAAGATCAGAGCAGAACTGAAGGACACAGAAACTTGAAAAACCCTTCAAAAAATATCAATGAATCCAGGAGCTGTTTTTTTTTGTTTTTGTTTTTTTTAAGATTAACAAAATAAATAGGCTGCTGCCAGATAATAAAGAAGAAAAGAGAGAAGAATCAAAAAGATACAATAAAAAATGAAAAAGGAGTTATCACCACTGATTTCACAGAAATACAAACTACCTTCAGAGAATACTGTAAACACCTCTATGCAGGTAAACTAGAAAATCGAGAAGAAATGGATAAATTTCTGGGTACAAACACCCTTCCAAGACTAAACAAGAAAGAAGTTGAATCCCTGAATAGACCAATAAAAAGTTCTGAAATTGAGGCAGTAATCAATAGCCTACCAATCAAAAAAGGTCTAGGACCAGACAGATTCACAAGAGAATTCTAATAGAGGTACAAAGAGGAGCTGATACCATTCCTTCTAAAACTATTCCAAACAATAGAAAAAGAGGGACTCCTCCCTAACTCATTTTAAGAGGCCAGCATCATCCCGATACCAAAACCTGGCAGATCACAACAACAAAAGGAAATTTCAGACCAATATCCCTGATGAACATCAGTGCGAAAATCCTTAATAAAATACTGGCAAAACTAATCCAGCAACACATCAAAAACTTCATTCACCACGATCAAGTTGACTTCATCCTTGGGATGCAAAGCTGGTTCAACATATGCCAAACAATAAATGTAATCCATCACATAAACAGAACCAATGACAAAAAGCAATTGTCTCAGTAGAGGCAGAAAAGGCCTTCGACAAAATTCAACAGGCCTTTATGCTAAAAATTCACAATAAACTAGGCATTGCTGGAACATATCTCAAAATAATAAGAGCTATTTATGACAAATCACAGCCAATATCATACTGAATGGGCAAAAGCTGGAAGCATTCCCTTTGAAACCTGGCACAAGACAAGGATGCCCTGTCTCACCACTCATATTCAACATAATATTGGAAGTTCTGGCCAAGGCAATCAGGCAAGAGAAAGAAATAAAGGGTATTTAAATAAGAA